GGGAAAGCTCACTCTGCCTTCTTCACTCCTACTTTCATGCTGTTGCATGCTCCTGGAAGTTACAAAACCATGTCAACCAGATGCATGACAAATTTGCATCATCTGACCTTGACTGGGCCCTCACTGATATATGACAACCTGTCGATAAAGTGAGTAAAGTGCCTTTACTATGTGCCAGGCACTCTGCTAAGTATGGAGGGTACAAATAAAGGCAAAAGACAGTCCATGCTCTGAAGGAGATCACAGTCAAAGAAGGCTTCTCTGATTCCTTGCTCTATCCTCCCCCACAACTAACTCTATCACCTCATAGTTTTTTAAAGTCTTTCTCTGAATCTGTTATGTACCTTTATTCTTTACCTTGCATTATACTAACTTGAGCACATCTGTTTTTTTAAGGCGAGCATAATGTTTTTGAGGGCAGGGAGTTTTATACTTCATCTTTGCATATCTGACATAATGCTTTGGCTCTTAGGCAAATTTGTAAAAAGTAGTTGTCTAATTCGTGGGTGAAAGTGGTGGAGAGAGTAAAAAAAAGAGAGGGTGGGCAGAAAGTTATGGTAATTCAAAATTGTGATCAAAAGAAGTTATCCAGCAGAGATATGGATAGACAAACTCACTCATCATGTCCAAATCTAGGTCTGACTAGTAATTACTAGTAACAAACTGTGAAGTGGGTATGTAGATTCCAAGCCAATAAAGTGCTCCAGAGGCTGACCAAAGAGAGTAGGTGAATTTGGCTCTGTTAGTAATGCCTGGGAAAGGATCTGGGGCAATGGAAAGGCAAATGAAAACAAAGGCATTGGAAAACTAGAAGAGGACAATACTGGGTAGTTACAGGATCATAGCAGAATGATAGATTTAGAACAGGAAGGGCCCTAGAAATTATTTAGACAGGAAATTATACAGACAGGAAACTAAGACCTAGGGAGTTCAAATGACGTGTCCATGGTCACACAGCTGGTAATTGGCCTTCCAACTCTTCTTGAAGAATGTAAGCCCTTTATTCAATGTAACTCCCCCCCCCCCTTAGAGTGTAAGCTCCCAGGAGGTAGGATCTTTGTGTTTGTATTTATGTCTTTGTATACCCAGCATGTAGCACAATGTATACAAAGCAGTCCCTTAATAAATGCTTGTTGATGGATTAATTTAAGAAAGCCTTCCCAATGTATACACAGGAGGCTTCTGAGCAGTCTCCAAAACTTTGACCTCTTTAATTTTCTTGGTTCTGGACCATCTGTACCTTGCTGTTTTTTCTTTCTCTTCTCATCTGTTTATCTTTGCCTGAAGTCATCAAATACCATGGTGTGTGTTGACTCAGTCTGGAGGATTTTATGAAATTGTTTGTAGAATGTCTTAACTTCTATTGTGCTCAGTGCCTTCCCGGTCATGGGTATGGCCAACGAATCAGGGCCCCCCCGAGATGATATTTCTAGTTGCGTTTGGGAACACAATAAAAATAACTCCACCAACTTGACTTCTCAAAGGAGAATTTGTGAGTCATTCTTCCATCATTCCCACTATTGATCAACATGAGAACTTGCTCCATTTCTGACCTGGGTCAGTTTGCCACATTTTGGCCCTTAGGCAGCCATCCCCCACCTCTTCCCAACAGGCTCAACATGATAGGTGATCCAACCTGCCTCAGCCTCCCCTAGCAGAAGGGACTGTAGGCTTGGATTACCACACCCAGTGATTCAGCTTTAATTATAATATAATCACAGGTATTTTAAACACCACTGTCCCAAGGGTAACTCTGAATTACTTAGAAACTGACAAACACCCTTGCCTCAACTTTCATACAAGGTAATGGAAACATGCCCAAACCAGTCTGGCTAGGGAAGAAGGGAGAACTGAACTCATCCATCTCTTTACTAAATAGGAGAATCTGGAACTAACATAATTCTTCCCTTAGATTTTTTTTTCCCAGTTATGAGCCCAGATGGAGGAAGCATGGGTTGGAATTTCCTTGCTTGTCCTGGATCCCATTTTGAATGTGGCTCAGACACCACATGAAACCAACATCCACTTCATTGATTCTTATCTGAAAACAAGGACCTAGTACTGTGCCATGAAACCCTAATTTTACTGAGGAGTGAACTAAATTATCTTATCCTCCACTGTTGTGCACAACTAATTCAGCTCACCACAAGAGCCAGGATCCTATACTAACTTTGAAGGGATAAGACCAGCTTAACCTTCTATCTCGAATGCACATAGATGAGGCGGGAGACAAGATGGAAGCAACTCCATTTATTTTTAGCAAAGCACTTACTTATATAGTAAAATAACAGGAACTCTTTATAAAGTTACAATGACGTATAGCTCATGCTGTGCTCAAGGACAGTGCATGCACATCCTGTGCACTTATCTGACTCCAATCCCAGAACAGACTGCTAATGACCATATAATAACTAGGGGAGTTAAAGATTGCTAAAGATCCATACAATGGAGCACCGAACGCAGAGACCTTTGCTCATAGATCAGCACCCGAGAGGGGCCTCCGCCCATCAGTGAGGCCTCATGAACAGCCTGTGGCCCTCTACATCCTTACAGATCCCCAACACTCCACCAGAGCTAGGGGGCATAGGAATAAGTTCTCAGCTACCCAGGGAATGATGCACAAAGGAGATGCACTTTTAGATATTGTTTTTTAATCAATGCAAATTTTTTTCTGACAAAAACTCATACTCTTGGGGGTATTCAAATGTATATTTTGCTATTATTGTGTTATAGTGAAGGCTCAAAGTCTTCCTGGGACAGTAACATACAATGGAAATTTTCATAAATGACCGATAGGTTGCCTTCTACTCTAGACTAATTAACAAACTTTATACATTCTCTGCTCTGCTACCTTTCTTCTAGCTCTTGCTAGAATAGCAGTGGCTACCCTTCCCCCTGCTGCCAGAAGGCTAGGCATGTCACCTTTCACCTCTTTCCCAGAGTTCTCTGGTGTGTTGTGGGGTTGGAGTGGGTCTAGTTGCTGCCATCAGGTCAAGTCTCTACCAATTGTATTCCCCTAATTTAGAGGTCCAAGAACCCCAGTTCTGTTTAACTACTTACCGTTCAGTCCAGCTTTTGCAAAGGAATGTATGCTTCAAAGATACAGCAGAAACAAATAGACGTTTCTGTTCTACCTCCCAATGCTTGGGGGAAGGGCATTATTTTCACCTCATACCACCTCAGACTGGGGAAAGCAGGGGAATTAGATTCGCAGTTTCTAAATAGCACAGTTCTACCAAGTGCCCATTCCAAAATCCCTCTGGATTTTCTTCCTGGCACTCTGGCTTTTCAGGTTTCCCTGCTGGGTTGGAAGCAATATCTTGCTTGAAATCTTTGCTCCAGGGTCACTCATATTTGAGTTGAGCTCATGGGGTTGGGACTTCATTCCCAGATCCTAGAACCAAAGAGGATAAAACAAGTCTAAACCACTAAGTAATTTTCTGTGGCCTCAAAGAACCTGAAGGGGAAAGGAAAAGTGGCCCTCCTCCCACCCAGTTTAGTGCAAGATGCTCATGCTGTGAGTGAATAGTACTTTCACCCTGGATGCTATCAGACATAAAGGGAATGACTACCCCTATCTGATAGTTTTAGAGACACAGCCAGCTCCTGCTACATAGCCAATGGAAAGAGAATGCTTCCACCTATATGGCAGGGAAATACAAGACGTCTTTTCCCAGAAGCAGGTCTTTGGTATCTCCCACACAAATTTCTCCATCTTAGGTAAGATGCGGGCATGTGTCAAAGCCCTATTACACTAACAATTCCTAGGATTTACAGCTAGAAGTGACACTAGACATCATCAAGTCTAACTTTCCCCCATTTCCTTTTTACAGATAAGGAAACTGAGGTTCCCAGTATTTTAGGTGGTTTGTTCAAAGTCCCACTTGTGACAACCATTTAGTGTGAAAAAATGAAACTTCACTGGGGACATATTCAATTAGAGTCAGGGCAGGCACTGAAAGCCGGAGGTGATGAGAAGGCAGGGAGCCTGGCGGTAAGTAGTGACACAGAGAACAATCTCACATGAGCTTCAGGCAAGTGGAAGAGATGGACTTCACTTTGGAGAGGGAGCAGGGAAGGGCATCCCTGTTAGTATATGGGCACCCAGAGTAGAACCACTTTGCAATAACGCAGAGGCATGACCATCTGCTGCATCTCTGCACCCTACGGAAGATGGGGCCTCTCTATCTGACTTGTGCCTAGAACCTCTATGTATTCTCTCCCTCCTATTAAAGTGTGAGTCCTCTGTAAGCAGGGACTATCTTACTTTCCTATTTGTTTCTTCAGCACTGAGCACAATGCTTTCTTTACATGCAGTAAGGGCTTAATAGATGCTTATTTTCTGGCTGTATTGCAACCATTATATAAAGATGATAGTGATGCTTGTATTTAGCAAGTAGGAAAGAGAAACCATTGGCATCGAGAAGAAAAGAGAGATCAGGTCTTTAAAAAATAATCAAACAAACTTCAAAGCCTCGTTATATGCCCATGTGACTTCTTTACTGCTATTAACACAAAAAGTAGCCCTGTCAAGATTAAAAAGTTTGCTAGCGTGGTGCTCGAGTGTCCCAACTTTGCTAAAGGAGAAATAACAATAACATCAACAGCAGCCAGACGCCAAGAAGTTATTGCCTGGGGGACAAGTGGGTATTTAGTTCTGCTTTTTAACTGGTTTTTCTCCCTCTCCTTTCTCCATTATCTTGGCACTGCATTAATAGACACCTTGGGTCACTCCTCAGTCAGCAACCCAGACAGCCTAACAGAAGAGGAAAGAGACGCAAATAGCCAGGGGGAGTCCTGCCCACAGAACTGGAGCTCAGATTCCCCTCACTGGCTTGGGTTTGCTGTTGGGAAGATGTGAGGCAGGATTGGGTGGGTGGCATAGTACTACAACCCATACATGCTTCTTGGCCGCCTTCTGTAGTTAGAGGAGAGCAGCCTAAGAGTCTGGGATTTTTCTGCTTCTAAGCCATCATCTCCTGTTTGAAAACTCTTCTCAGAGTGTGGAACCCAGAGAGGATGGCTGCGTCTGGGTTCGCCCGGTGTCTGTCCTGTGGGCCAGTTCCTACAACTCTCCTCTCTTGGCGGCTGTACAGGTAAGAAACCCCCAGTCCTCCCCATCCCATGGTGGCCTAGGGCAGGGGCTTGGATTTCTGTCACAGGGGATGAAGGGATCTTTTTCAGGAGGGACTCCCTTTCTTGTCTTGCAGAAAGGACAAGGCTGGCTGCTTTCGCTACTACCGGGCAGCAATCTGCAGGAAACTGAAGGTCCCCTTGGCTATTGAGGAAGTCCCTACTCGCCCCATCCAGCCTGACGAGGTAGGGATCTCCAGGGACAAAAAGTCATATTTAGGACCACCCACAGCCTTTCCCCTTCCCTAGTCCACTGGGTGTTTATTCTTTAAATGTTATAAGCTCTTCAAAGACAAGTACTGTTTCTTTTTGTATTTATATTTTCAACTCTTAGGACAGTGACTTCTCTCCCTCCCTTCCTTCCATGCTTCCATCTTTCCCTCACTCCCTTCTTCCCTTCTTTCCATCCTTTTATCCTTCCCTTTTCCCCACCCTCCCTTCCTTTTCTTCTTTCCTTTCTTCCTTTCCTTCCTTCCTTCCTTTCTTCCTTCCTTCCTTCCTTCTTTCCTTCCTCCTTCCCTCCCTTGCCTTCTTCCCTTCCTTTCTTCCTTTTTCCTTCCTTCCTCACTTGCTTCCCTTTCTTGGTTTTCTTTTATCCCCGGGCTAGAGAGTTACTGGAAACCCCTGCTGACCCTTCTCTTGGTGTAGGGTTTGCACTTCAAGTGAATTCACTGAAATGTTTCCCTACCATCTCATCCTCTGCACCAAAAAGAAAGAAGAGAGAGAACACACACACACACACACACACACACACACACACACAGAGACAGACAGACAGACAGACAGAGACAGAGAAACAGAGCAGCAGTATTGTTTCTAAAAACACAATAGCTGTAACTTTAGAAAGAAGACCTAGAGCTTTTTTAAATGGGGAAAATAACATCATTAATATCTGCCTCTCATCGTTGCTGTGAAGCTCAAACATATGCAATTTCAAACTTCCAGGCTCTCTATTAATGTCAATTGTTATCATCATCATCATTTAATTCAGTGCTGGAAATAGTTGCTCCTTCTTTTTCCTCCAATTTGTCACATCTCTCATTTCAAGCTTTGTAAAATGTAAAGTGCTATACAAATGTAGGTTAACAATGATGCTTATTTATATAGCACTTTCAGGCTTATGAAACAACTCTTATTATTATTATTATCCTCACTGCTATCTTATTCTCATCTTTTTTTTTTTGTTGAGGTTCAGACAGAAATGGTCCTTGGACTCTATTCTGCTATTATTCTTACATATTCAGTGTTCTACAGACCACCGCACAGGTAGAGAAAATGACTGCTTTGGGTAATTGGATGAATATTAGGATGGAAGCTCAGTTTCTGTAGAAGCAGTGAGTAGTGCCTAAGTGGCATCCACCACTTCTCTTGCTAGATTCTGCCTTTTGTTCCTTTGTCACTGCCAGCTCCTGCTTTACCAAGTTGAACTGCCAGGACCTGGAGGAACTCTTGGCTATGGTGTAATGGAAAGAGGTCTGGGTTTGGAATCAGGAGAGAACAATGTCTGAATGCTGGATGACTTTTTCTTTCTTTTTTTAAATAGTATTTTACTTTTTCCAATTACGTATAAAGACAATTTCAAACATTGTTTTTTGAAAGATTTTCAATTCCAAATTTTTGTCCCTCCCTCCTTCTCCTTCCCCCTTCTTAGGATGGGCAAGCAATCTGATAAAGGTAATGCATGTGCAATCATGTAAGACATATTTCCTCATTAGTCATTAACATTCATTTAAAAAAGTTGAGTTCCAAATTTTATCCCCCCTTCCCTTCCCTTCTCCCTGCCTAAAATGAAATTTGACATGTTATATATGTGCAATCACATAAAACATATTTCCATATCAGCTGTGTTGTGAAAGAAGAAACAGACTAAAAGGAAACTCACACATACGCACACACACAAAAGTGAAAAATAGTGTGTTTCAATCTGCATTCAGACTCTATTAGTTCCTTTTCTGGATGTGGATACCATTTTCCATCATGTGTCCTTTGAAACTGTCTTGGATTATTGTATTGCTGAGAAGAGCTAAGTTAATCATAGTTGATCATCACACAATGTTGCTGTTACTGTGTGCAGTGTTCTCCTGGTTTTGCTCATTTCATTTTGCATCAGTTCATGTTAAGTTTTTCCAAGTCTGGATGTTTTACTAGCTGTAGGATCATAGGCAAGTAACTGAACCTTTCTGAGTCTCAGTTACCTCATCTGCAAGTTGGAGATAATAATATTCATGCTACTTCCCTCACAAGAATCTTTCAAGGAAAGTCCTTTGTAAAGCTGAAAGTGTCCACCTTAATTGGAGACTATTGAGAAACATGGTAGAGGGAGGACCAGAACAGAGGTCTCTTGAACTCCTATTCTGCTTTGTCTCCACCAAAATAGATTGTTACCATCCTGGTTGCCCTGTTTTGTTTTGTTTTGCTTTCTCTTTGCAGGTCAGAGTTGATGTCCATTTTTGTGGGGTTAACTTTGCAGACATTTTGACCTGTCGGGGGCAGTATCAGGAGAGTCCATCCATTCCCTTCACACCTGGTGAGTAAGAGAATGGTTGTGGAATTAATGTATTGCTTCCAGGGATTGCCAGGTGACTTGTTGAGAGGTAACACAGTTGGGAAATGCTGCATGGTGATACAAGGCAGTGGTCTTTGAGATGGAGCCAGAATCCTAGCTCCTGATCAGATGTCATGGTAAAGCATCCCTATGTTGGTGTTTGTCCTAAAGACTGTGTGCCCTCAAAGGAGGTGCCTCACACTGAGGTAATCACTGTTTGAAGTAGTAGAGTATCTGCTAGTTTGGGGGGATAGGGAGGGTTGTGTTTGTGGCTAATAGAATCATGTACTTCTAGAGCTGGAAGAGCTGTCTAGGTTATGTTGTAGTTAGCAAGAGTGGAGTTCCAAAGAATTTAGCTATTTGAAGAATGTCACTCAAATAGCTAAAGTACAAAAAGCTAGGTGGATTTTATAGTGGAGGTAGCTAGATTGCTCAGGGGTGGAGTGCTGGACTTATAATTAGGAAGACCTGAGTTCAAATCCTGCCATGTATGCTTACTGGCTGTGTGACCTTGGACAAGTCATTTGACTGTTTTATGTCTCAATTTCCTTATCTGTAAAATAAAGATAATAACAGCACATACTTCACAGGTTATTGGGCAGATCAAGTGAGATAACGTATGTATAGTGTTTTACAAACCTTAAGGCATATAGAAATGCTAGCTATTATTGTGTTCACATATAAAAATTTTTTAAAAAAACTATAAAAAGTGGTTTGGAGGGGAGTACCAGCTGCTGGGAGGCATTAGGAAAGGCCTGGGAAAGCAATATAATAGAGTGGAAAGAATGCTGGCTCTAAGGTTGGAGAATCCGGGTTTGAATCCCACATTTGGTGCTTGCTGCTTGCTGCTTATGTGACCTTGACCATGTCATGGAACTTTCTTATGTGGGGATTAAAAGTCACCAACCTACAATAAAATAGACTGAGGCAGAGCTCTGAGCCAATGCCACTTTATTAAAGGGTTCATGGTCCCCTCCAAAGGAGTGGACCTCAGATCTTCCTCATGATCTGAGATACCTCCTTCTTCTGGAACCTTGTATTTATAGAGTTTGATACCTAACTATGCAAAAGAGGCATGGCAAAATACAGAATCCCATTGGTTGATGTAAGCTAAAATAAGCAAAAATGATTTGTCAGCAGGGTCATGAGTTGAGTGAAGCAAGGAATATCTCCACTTACTAGGTGGTCATAAGATGGATGGGCTCCTACTTAGGTTAGGCAGGAGGAGATGGTACAAGCTGTACATACACTCCAAGAACTTACTGGGGGGACTTTACATGCCATGCCACCTTGGTTGTCTTGGTCATGGAATTTGAGCAAAACGGGATGCAGATATCTTTGTCAGCATTCTTGTGGTTGCTCAAGTGAATTCCACAGCTGTTAAACAAGTAATGAACATTACATTAAAGTTTGAGGCCTATTATAGGGCCCTTCTACTAGAATCTATATTCCTATGTGACTTATACAAAATATGGATTAATACATTGCTTATTCTTATGCCTATTATTAGGTGACTGACTAGATATGTATTACTAGATGATATATTAAAATAATTACTAACAATCAGCACCCCTTATAAAATCATAATGAACTAATACTGATTAGAGTTTGAGTGAGGGTCCTCCATGAATCATTTCTCTTACCTAGACCTCAGTTTTCTCATCTGTAAAATGAGGGGGTTATACCCAGTGGCCTCTGAGGTCCTTTTCAGTTCTAGACCTATGACCTTTCGATTATATTGAAGGTGGTCCTTGAGTTAAGCTTCGAAGGAAGCTAGGGATTCCTTATATGCATATCATAAGTATAAAATGAATAAGCGTAAATGTGTACAAAGTAGTTGAGAGGAAGGCATTAGCAGTGGGGGGAGGGGAGATCTGGAAAGACATGCAGAAGATGTTACCTGAGATGAAACTTAAAGGAAGAGAGAGACTACAAGGTGGAGGAGGTAACTGGTCAATAGACACCTGGGTTTGTATACTGCTTTCAATGCTAATATAAGCTCTAGTCCTGTGGTCTTGTTATTTCATAACTCCAAGCCTATTTGTTCAGTCATAAAATGGATTCAAAACCCACGAAGGTTATTGTGAGACTCAAAAAAGATAATAATGATGCCAAATAAGGTTAATGATGCCAAAGACTACATAAATATATTTGTTTAAGTATTTGAAGGACTATCACATGGCCCCCAGTGGACAAATCTAAGAGCAATGAGAGGATTCCACAAAGAGTGACTTTAAAGGAATGATTTCTTACCAATCAGTGGCATACCAGAGTTGAATGGGCTGCATCAAGTGATGATATTTTCCCATAAGGGAAGTGTTCAAGCAAAGGTTGGCTGGCTACCTGTCAGGAATGTTCTAGAAGGAATTCTTCTTCAGGTTGGACTAGATGGTCACTGAGATATTTTCCAACTCTGAGGTTTTGTGATTCTGTGAGTAAAGTTACCAGTGTCTTCCAGGAGGGTACCGCAGAAACTTAAATCAGGTTGCCATGGACTTGGGATATAATCAATCTGGAGTGCCGTATCCTTCCTCCTTCAGTCTAGATTCTAATGGTTCTGTGGGATTTTTAGCATTGAGTCCATGAACTTGTTTTTTTCCTAATACACAATAAATATATTTCAATATAATTGGTTTCCTTTGTAATCCTATATATTTTATTTTATGCATTTGAAAACATTATTTTGAGAATGGGTTCATAGGCTTCACCAGAGAGGTCTGTGGTACAAAACAGGTTAGGAACAATTATGAAAAGCATCAAATATAAACTTCTTGTCTCCATAAAGCTGATTAGAAAGTTGATAAAGGAGCATGATGGCATTGGACAAATGATCTTATCTTCTTTTTAGGATTAGAGCTTGCTGGACAGGTGTTGGAGATTGGCAGAAATGTCAGCACAGTAAAAGAGGTAACCCAGCAGATCGGGAAGACCTGTTGGATCAATGCATGTCATGGGGCATGTGGGCAATATGTTGGTGTGATTAGTAGGTTTTTTTTAAAGATCCTTGCCAGGGCCTTTGCCAGCAGACAGTGAAGCCAAGAGGAAAGAAAGGCTCATAGATTTATAACTGGAAAGGATTGAGTCCAACCTCCTCATTTTACAGATGAGGAAACTGAGGCACAGAGGGTGCCATGTTGAGATTTATACAGTTAACATTTGAGATAGGATTTGAACCCAAGTCTTCCTGCTTTTAGGCACTTTGTTTACTACTCTTAGTGACAAATTCTAAGGTAGACCGAAGAAATCAATGAAAGTTTTTTATTCCATTTAAATACCTCCAGAGTATGAATAAGAGGCAATACCTTGGTCTTTCATTAGAGAGAAGAATGTTCTGTCTGTGTGTTCTGTGACAAGAATAACACCAGCATTTGAATATATGTCACTTGGACATATATTCTGTCCTCATTTTGTACTTTACCTTCCCCATTCTCTGCCCACACAATAGTTCATGTTGGTTTGACAACTGGGTATTAGAATATTGATGGTAGCTATGTTACTCTGAATAGGTCACCAAAGCAGTCAAGAGTCTCTCAGTGTTGTAGACAGAACAGCTTTTCAGAGCATGAATTTGAATGTGCCACTAATACTTTTTATTTTCCTTACAGGGAGATCGTATTATTAGTGTGAATAACTTTGGTACCATGGCTGAACAATGCATTGTTGATCAGAAGGTAGCTTTAACTCTCAATAAGAATTCTGAATGAATTCTTTTCCTCTTCTTTTACTTTTCCCTTCCTCTTCTCCACTTCTTTTCTTTCCCTTCCCTCTTTTGTCCCCTCCTTCATTCTCCTTTCTCTTTCCCCTCTTCCCTTACCCCCTCTTCTCCCTTCTCTTCCTTTCCTTTCTCCCCTTCTCTTGTTCTTCCTTCCCTCTTCCCCCTTCCTTTTCTTTTTCCCCTTTCCTTATTCTCCCCTTTCCTTTTCCCTCTCCTTTTTATCTCCTCCCTTCCCCTCTCCCACCACCTTCATTTTCATCTCTCTCTCTCCCCCTCTCCCTCTGTCTGTCTTTCTCTGTCTCTCTCTCCTTGTCTCTCTCCCTTTCTCTCTCTCTGTCTCTCCTCTCTTCTCAAATCCTTTTCCTTTACCCACTACATTTCCCCATCACACTACTAGGTATGTACTCACAACTGGTGTGGGAAAAGGGCTCTGAGGAACTTCCAGTCTATTTTGTTTCTTTCCTCTTTCACTTGTAAAGTCCCTTCTCTCTATTTATCCTGGAGATGCTGGCAATGATGACTACCTGAGGGGAGAGGCAGAGCCATTCTTCAAAGCTCTATTGGGTAGAGTTGGCTAATGAAGAAAGGCCATAAAGTTCACTGACACCTGGAGCTATTGGTTTCTTGTCCAGATTGTTCTACATTTGGTTAATTTCAGTAGCAAAACTGGTTTGGTGAACTGATTGCTTTCTCCCCCATCAGAGCTTGTGAAAGAGAAAATTAGGCTTAAAGTCACAAACTGGACCATATTCCATTCCCTGTGATGTAGATCTTATTTATAGTTGAGGCTGCATTTGCATTTTTTAACCTGGGTCACTGAAAGCCTGTGCTTTTATGTGGTTGTGTGGAAAGTCTTTCACTCTTCAATTAAAAGGAGCTTATTTTTCCAGAATTTCCTTCCATTGGTAAATCGACCAATCAATAACAATAGTACTATATAGACGTTAGCTCATTTGATCCTTACCATAACTTTAAGAGTACTGGAGATATTGTTATCATTTTACTCATAAGAAAAGTGAGGTATAGAGGGGTTCACTGATTTGGTAACTTGCCCATAATCTCACTGTCAGTAAAGTTAAGAAGCAGGATTTGAACCCAGGACTTTCCTGACTCAAAGTCCAGTGGTTTCTCCATGACACCATACTTCCTTCCTGAATCAACAACTATTTATTGAACGCCTTCTTGTTGCAAGGTATTGTGGGGGACTATAAGAGATTGTAGTCATAGATTTGGAGCCAGAGGGAGACCTTAAAGGACATTTACTCCAACTCCTTTATTTCAGAGGTAAATGAAACTCAGTGAACCTCAGAGAGGTTCCTTTAATTTCCCTGAGACTCAGTTTCCTCATCTGTAAAATGAGGGAACTACACAAGAGGATCTCTGATGTCCTGTCCACCTCTAGATCAATATATATATATATATATATACATATATATATATATATATATACACATATATATATGTATTATATATATGTAATATATATATATATATATATATATATATATATATATATATATAAAACTTTTTGGCAAGGCTATTGGGGTTAAGTGACTTTCCCAGGATCACTCAGCTAGTAAGTGTCAAGTGTCTGAATCCTGATTTGAACTCAGATCCTCCTCACTCCAAGGCCGGAGCTCTATCCACTGTGCCACTTGGCTGCCCCTAGATCAATATTTCTATGACTATTCTATGGTCATACAGCTAATAAGTGTTAAAGGTAAAATTTGAACTCAGTTCTTCCTTCTCTTCTATGCTATCCTGCCTGTCCAAGTAAGAAACTCCAATGTCTTTGCATGTAGAAACTGTGGCAGATTCCAGATGGGATCTCCTACCAAGAAGCTGCTGCCCTTCCTGCATGTTATGGCACTGCCATGCTGGCCCTAGACCAGCGGGCGAGGACACAGCCTGGGTAGGTGTTCTGCGCAGTGAGAACTACAAGGATGAAAGCTGTCTCTGTGGTCATAAAGTACTTTCACATTGCTTGAGGTCATCTGTCCTGGGAGATAAGTAGTATTTTCCATTTCGTTTCCATTTTACAAATTAGGAAACGTGTTCAGAGACATTAAGGGACTCGCCTGAGCTTGTGAGTGAAGGAAATGGGTTTCACACTCTGGTCTTCTGGTCAAGACCAATATTGTTGTTGTTGTTGTTGTTGTGTTCCCCAAATGGACTACCTTCCTTTTTCTCTGCTGAAGAATAAGAAATCAGAGAGCAGAGCTATGAGCATCTCTTGTTTTCCTAAGGTTATCAATATTTCCCCTTCCCTTAAATGTCACAGGTTGAGAAAAAGCTCATGGGTAGCCCAAACCGAGCAAACTCTTATTCCCTGGGATGGACTCATAGAATGCTAGAGGTGGAAGAGATCTTAGCTCGGTCCTTACCTACAGAAAGGGAAGGAGACTAGAGGATGTTCCAAAGTCTAGGAAATCAGACCTGTGGGTGCTTGACCCCTGGTCTGCTCCAGCGTGGACACGTGGAGGAATGCTGATCTTTTTTTTCTGACACAGGGAAACTGTTCTGGTGACAGCGGCAGCTGGTGCTACAGGCCTCGCCTTGATAGATGTGGCATCGAACATTCTCCAGGCCAAGGTATCTGCTGTTCCATTCTGTTTTCACCTGATGCAGGGTCCTTCTTTCAAACTGAGGCCTCCTTTCAGAAATAAGTCAAGGGATTCATTTCAGTAGGAATTAGTTATCCCTTACGTATAGTTCAAGTCAGTCTACCAGCATTTATTAAGCACCTGCTACATGCCAGCACTGTGCTAAGCACTAGGATAGAAGGACAAAAGACATTCCCTGCCCTCAAGGAGCATACAGTCTAACAGGGGGAAGACAACATGCAAATAATTATGTACAAACAAGATAAATACAGGGGGAAAAGGGGGTAATCAACAGAGCAAAGGCACTAGCATGGAGGGGGTTTGGAAAAATCTTTCTATAGAAGATGGGGTTTGAGTTGGGACTTGAAGGAAGCCAGGGAAGCCTGCAGGTAGAGATGAAGAGGGAGGGAATTCCAGGTAGGGGAGACAGCCAGTGAAAATGCCTGTGTTGTTTGAGGAACAGCAAGGAGGCCAGTGTCACTGGGGGAAGAGTATGTGGAGGTGAGTAAGTTATGAAGACTGAAAAGGCAGTGGGGGTGGGGAGGTCTGGTTATGGAGGGCTTGGAACACCATAGGATTTTATATTTATTTTTAGAAGTGATAGGGAACCATTTGAGTTTTATTGAATGATATGGATGATATGGTTAAGTAACTTGCCCACAGTCACACAGCAAGCATGTGTCAATGGCACAATCACAACCCAGGTCTTCCCAACTCTAAGGTCAGATCTATAGCTACCACCCTATACTGCTCCTTTGGCTACTACAACATTGACTTAATTAGGACACTGTCCTTTCACAGCATAAGCTCTAGGGTGCTTGAAAGAGCTACTAAGGAGATCCAAAGTAGATGTTCTTTTTCACCTGTTAAGGTGAAGAGCCTTTACTCTGACAATGTAAATGGTGGGAGAAGAGAGTAAGAAGGACCTGGCTTTTGAATCCAGCCTCTGACACTTCCTAGCTGTGTGATCGTGGCCCATTTACTTAACATATCTCACCTTCAATTTCCATATCTGTCAAATGAAGGTAGTAAGCTTTGTTATAAGACTCAAATGAGACAAGGTACATAAAGTGCTCTTCAAACTTCAAAGTTTGAAGCTTCAAAGTACTAAATAAATGTCAGACATTGTCAATTATAATATGAGATAAAATTCACTGTAGTTTTCTAAGTAAGATTCAGTCAAGCCCCTAAGCATTTGTGAAGTCCTTACCATATGCCAGGCATTGGGCTAATCTCTAGAGATACAAAGAAAGGCAAAAACATGGTCCCTGCTGTCATAAAGCTCACATTCTAATGGGGAGAAACACACAAATGACTATGTACATACAGTATGTCTACAGTATAAATGGGAGGTAATCTTAGAGGGTACAGATTAGCAAGGAAGGGAGAGAAACAAGGTAAAATCGCATCCAGAAGGTAAGATCTGAGTGAATCTTGAAGGAAGTCAATGAAGTCATGAGGGAGAGATGAGGAAGGAGAATTCTCAAGGCATGGAGGATAGTCAGGGAAAATGCTTAGAGGTGGGGGATGTCAGAACTAGCAAGAATGCTGGTGTCACTGGATTGAAGGGTGCCGGAGAGGAGTAAAATGGAAGAAATCCAGAAAGGTAGGAAGAGATCAGGTTGTAAAAGTCTTCAAAAGGCAAACAGAGGATTTTATTTTTGATCTTGAAGATAATAGTCATTTTACAGATGAGGAAACTGAGGCAAACAGGGTTAAGTGACTTGCCCAGGGTAACAGAGCTTACTAGTGAGTGTCTGAGGTTAAATCTGAACTCATGAACATGAGTCTTCCTGAGTCCAAACCTAGTGCTCATATTCACTATGGCATCACCTAGTGGCCCACAGCCAAATTACAAGATCACAGAATCTCAGAGTCAGAAATTCTTAACCAGAGTTAACCCTCAGAGTCAGGGATTCTTAATCTCTCTTTATCTCCACCTCCCACTCATTACTGATCCTGCCAGCAAAGACTATAGACTCCTCCTCAGTATAATATTTTAAAAGAAATCATAATCGACAGAAATGATAAGTTTCAGCTAGAGGTGAGAGAAAATGAAGATGTCATTTTTTTTTAACCTATCCAAGTTCAAGGACCACTTGACAGTTCATGGGCCCCAGGTTAAGAATCCCTGGTTTGGTCCAACCCATCATACCTGATCAAGAATTCCCTCTATGACACATCTGACAAGTGATCTTCCAGCTTTGTTTGAAAGTCTTCCAGGAAGGGGAACCCCCTCCCTCTCATGGTAGCCCATTCCACATGTAGGTAGCTCTAATCATTAAAGACATTTTTCATCAAGCCTAAACCTGTCTCCTTTTAATTTCCACTCATTGCTTCTAGTTTTGCCTGCTGTTGCCAAGGAAAGCAAATCTAATTGTTAGTCCTTCAGCTAATTGCAAACATATTCCTTTTAAGTCATGTCCCTCCCTAATTCTTCTTTCCTCCTCATGAAATATCCCCAGTCTCACCAACCAATCCTTATATACCATGATCTCAAAGCCCTGTTCCTATTTTCCTCTTGCAGGTGATCGCAGCAGCTGGAAGCGATGAGAAGTGCAAGCTGGCACTGCAAAGAGGGGCAAAGGCCGCTGTGAATTACAGTCAGGGCAACCTGAAGGAGGAACTGAAGAAGCTGACAGGCGGCCAGGGGGTCAATGTGGCCATTGATGCTGTGGGAGGCGACGTTTGCCTAGCTGCCCTCCGCAGGTGCAGTAAAGTCACTTCTTAGGAGGGCTTGGAATGGTGTATCTTAACTCAAGCCTCGTCAATGGCTGGGCTCCTCTTTTGGCTCTAACTTCCTGCTTTGTCTGGTATACACTTCTGCTATAGGGATTTGTAGCACTGTGTTGTAGGTAGATGGGTGAGAAGGGAGGTTCAAAAGAAAAATATGAAGAGATGCAAATCATCATAATAATAGCTGTCAAATGATAGCTATTATAGCTGTATATATATATATAGCTGTTAAATAGTAGATAAATAATATTCATATGCTGTTCTAATGTTTGTAAAGTACTTTACAAATATTAACTCATTTTATCCTCACAACATCTGCGAGGAATACGTGCTATTATTATACATTTTACAGATGAGGAAACTGAGGTCGAAAGAAGGTAAGGAACTTGCCCAGGTTCACAGCTAGTGTTTGAAAGAGTAATTTGAATTCATCTTTGAACTCCAGGACCAATGCTATTCACAGTGCCACCTAGTGGAAAAGGGTAGAACTGCAATGTGGAAATAATTCGACAAGAAACTGACTTCTCTCAAATGATGCAAATGATATATTGATTATGCACAAATCTAAGACAAGTGTTCTTGTAGGATGTAGCACTCAGAAAAAAAAACCCTAATAAAACTCCTCCTTTCGAGGAAGCAGTGACTGGTATGGCCATTCTCACTTCCATATTCATTTTTTTTTTTTGATAAATAAGATATTCTAAAATGTCCTAGTGGAGGTATTAGCTTAAAGTCTCGATCAATTAGTCAATCAATAAGCATTTATCTAGTTCCTACTCTCAAGGCAGCTAGTGGGCACAGTGAATAGAGTGCTGGGCCTAGAGTCAGGAAGACCCAGGTTATCTTCCTGAATTTAAATCCAGCCTCACACACTTACTAGCTGTGTGACCCTGGGCAAGTCACTTAACCCTGTTTGCCTCAATTTCCTCATCTGTAAAATGAGCTGGAGAAGGAAATGGCAAACCACTCCAGTATCTTTGCCAAGAAAACCCAAATGGGGTGATGGAGAGTTGGAAGTGGCTGAAAAACAACAGAATGATTAATGAACACCTACTCTGCTAGCCAGTGGGGGAAAAATACAAAACAAAACAAAACAAAAACAAAAACTCCATTATCAAGAATCCTATGTTCTGTTGAGGATTTGTATAGTTAACCCTTTTTTTTTCTTAAAGCGAATAATGACCCTCTAACTTCTCTTTTGTAAGTTTGGGCTTTATTGGATTTTTTTTTAACTTGGGATACACTTGTATAGGCAGGTATTCATAATAAGGAGAATTGACAAAAGGAAGGCTTTGTCCACCTAAAGGCTCACTTGCCTTTCATCCCTAATGCCAAATGTGCTAGTTTCTTTTTATTTGTCTCACTTGGAAAACCAGCACAAGGGAGTAAGAGTTACCCTTTGTGTCCTGCTGGATAGAGTCAGGAAGACCTGGGTTCAAATCCTGCTATTAGATAATTACTGTGTCAACTTGAGTAAGTCACTTCTCTATGTCCTCATTTTCCTCATCTCTAAATGTTGTGAGGATTAAATCAAATAATATATGTAAAACCCTTTGCAAATTTTTTTTGGGGGTGAAGCAATTGAGGTTAAGTGACTTGCCCAGGGTCACACAGCTAGAAAGTGTTATGTGTCTGAGGCCAGATTTGAACTCAGGTCCTCTTGACTCAGTGCTCTATCCACTGCGCCACCTACCTGCCCCTCTTTGCAAATCTTTAAATGCTAAATCAAAGTCAGCTCTTATTGTGGTCCAGGGCAGCTAGGTATAGTGGATGGAGCACTGGGCCTAGAGTCAGAAAGACTTGAATTCAAATCTGGCCTCAGATACTTACTAACTATGTGACCCTGGGTGAGTCACTTAGCTGGGTTTGCCTCAGTTTACTCATCTGTAAGATGAACTGGAGAAGGAAATGGCAAACCACTTCAGTATCTTTGTCAAAAAAACCCAAATGGGGTCACAAAGAATCAGACATGAGTGAAATGACTGAACAACAACAAATTATTGTGGTCTACTGGGATTTCTAGAAGCAGGAATGAGGCACTTTCCTTTTTTGTATTTTTTTTGCCTTTTTTTTTTCGCTTTTTTGCATTAAAACATTTCTTGGCATCTTCTCCCCCCTCAGCCTATCTTGGGAGGGCAGATGGTGGTGATAGGGTTCACAGGAGGAACGATTCTGTCCATCCCATCCAATCTGCTCCTGCTGAAGAACGTGTCAGCCATGGGCGTGTACTGGACCCGATATCAGAAAGAGAACTTCCCGGTCTTCTCACGGTACATGTCCTCAGCTCTTCGGTACTGCCAGGAAGGATCCATCAGGCCATATATCGGGGCAGTCTTCAAGCTGGAGGAGGTGAGATGCTACAAAGGAAGGGCAGAATGAGATGCCTTCTGGGTCCAAATGGCCAGAAAGTCATCTCTGTGCCATGCCACTGAGTGGCCATATGTATCCTTGTGAGTCTACCCTAATTAATGATTTTTAGTCATCGTAGTGATAAATTTATAATGGGATTAACCAATGTAATAGGCCATGAAATGGAGTAAAGTGAACATGTTTGAGAAAATAATTTACCATATAGAATCATAGATTTAGGGCTGTCAGGGACCTTAGAAGCCATGTAATCCAAACCTTCATTTTGTAGGTGAGGAAACTGAGGCCAACAGACATCAGTGACTTGTCCAAGGTCACATAAGTACTAAATGTCTAAGCAGAATTTGAATTTAGTCCCCCTGACCAGCAATCTTTCCATTCTAGTAGGCTGCTGTCCCCGGTGCAACTACTGATACTGTGCTCTTCAACAAGTACTCTGAAAAGCAAACAACGTGATCAATTTTTAAAAATCATTTGATCAGCATTTATTGTTGACTATGGCTAGGCTAGTCTTGGGGTACAACTACCAAGAATGACACACTTCCTACTTCTATGGACCTCTCTACCAATTGTCTATCCCCAGAAGATTATCCAGGAAAAGGGACTTGTTGACCTTCAATTCTTTTTTTTTTTTTTTTGGCAAGGCGATAGGGTTAAGTGACTTGCCCAGGGTCACACAGTTAGTGAATATCATGTGTCTGAGGTCAGATTTGAACTCAGGTCCTCCTGACTCCAGAGCCGGTACTCTATCCACTGTGCCACCTAGCTGCCCTGATTTTTGATTCTTAAAAACAGACATTTAAAAGTTCTGCTGGACCGCATGAACTGGGATCCTGTGAAATGAATGCTAAATCATGCTGGGTATCATGGAATTATTAGTCACTGAAATTAATTTTGTTGGCAGTTACTTCCTTTTTTCAGTCCCCACAGTCCATTTATGTGGCTTTAAGCTTCCTCCAAAGTATAACTATGTGCGTACATCTCTAATAAACTTGCAAATGTGAATCTGTTCTGCATATGCTATAGAGCCTTAATTTTTTTTTTCCTTCTGAATACTTGGCTGGTATTATTTAAAACCACCTAAAACTCTTCTGGTGACTACAAGTTAAAATTGTGTATTGCCAGTGGGGGCTGATTCAAATGGAGATCATCTGGGCTCCCCAAGCTGGCTGAGTGAGTTTCCCTGCCCATGAGTTTCCCAGGGAGGCAATTCTCTTCCTTTTTTTCTCCTGTGGAGAGCTGCCTTTCTTCATTTCTTTTGGAGCCTGTCAGTGAAGAAGATTGTGTTGACCTTCCTACAATTTTTTAGTTGCCTATTGACAAAAAAATAAAGAGGCCAAGGTGGAGCAAAGTGTTAAAATATATTTCTTTTTTATCTTTCTATCCTTCTGGCACTCACATGTTTTGCCTGACTATAGATGGATCAATGAACTTATCTGAGCCTCAGTTTCCCTGTAGATAAAATGGAAATAACAATACCTGTAATCTCTACCTCCTGGGACTGTTGTAAAGCTGAAATGGGACAATGGATGTAGAGAGCTTTGTAGACATTAATGCACAATGTCATTTTTAGGGAGTTATTCTTCTTCTTTACTATACTATAATTTTTTAAATATTTTATTCATATAATAATACCTAGTATTATTCCACTATTGACAGGCAAGTGTGATGGAGTGGATAACCCGGGCTAAGACTCAGGAGATTCAAGGTAGACATTCCTGGGCCTCTGACACACAAATTGGCTGGTTTACTTTGGATAATTCACTTATCCTCCCCATGCCCTGGGGCATCTCTCTAAGATTAGAATTAAAATTCAACCCAGAAAGGGGGAAAGTAATGTTGCTAAGAGTCACCTGGGGCTTAGATTATTTTTCTAAATTGCATCAATCATTGGATTAGGCTGGATATTAGTGTCTTCTGTCTCCACGACTAAAAATCCAATTTGTTCATAGTGGAGGTCCCCAATAGGCGGAAGCCGATTAAAGACAGGGAGAGATCTGTGAGAAGTGTCCAAGCCTGGAAGGGCTGGTTTAGATCCTTTCTTGCAGAGCCCTCTTCTTTTTCCAAAGAAACTCTGACACCCAAGATGCATCACAGTAGGGCATGGGGTGGCATCTGAAACCGTTGCCTGTCAGTGCTTGTTAGATGTCAAGTGAATTCATCATTTAAGTTTGTAGACTTAGGCAGGGGGCAGAAAGTGGTGGTATTGAGTTTTTTTTTTTTTAAAGAAAAGTGTTTTCTCAGAGTTTGTGGCAGGTGGTATGGGATCCACTATTTTAGTAGTTAGTGGAAAGAGTGATAGATTTGGAATGAAATCCTGACCTTGCCACTTATTACCTATGTGACCTAGGGTAAATCATTTGACCATTCTGGGCCTGTTTCCTCAACTATAAAATGAGGAGGTTTAACTAGGTGATCTTCAAGGATTCTTCCAGCCGTAGATATCTGATGCAGAAACCCTCCGCTATCAGATGACCTTGAGTCTGAAAATGGAGCTTAATTTAATACTTTTGCCACTGAGTGTGTGTGGGACAACGACCACACTAGAATTAAAAGTTCCAAGGCTGAGTCAGAGATCAGAAAAGGTTTTATTCTTTCTCATGAGAAAGGGCACAGCCCTCGTAGTTCAAGCGGTGACAGCCAGGGAGTGCAAAGTCTGTTAGTGGGGAGCAAAGTGTTATAGTCCTAACGCGATACCCACACCCCATTCCTGAACCCTTCTTCCCATTGGCTGGGTTTCAGGGTGCACAATCTAAACGCAGGTTTCTAAGACCCTTAGTACCATAATATCCTTATTTGGAAGTATTGGCCTAGAGACAAAGGTTCGGGAAGACTTTCGATAATGTTTAGAAGTTCCGCCTACAGACAGATAAGCAGGAAGCCCCTGGCGGTTAAGCTAGCAGTCTTTCGCAATTTTTACCTTGCTAGAGGAATTGGAGCACAGGTTAGCTCTTGCTTAATGCACAGCAAATGTTTGCAGCTTCAACAAGTTTTACTGCTTTGGGGGTACAAAGGGAATTGATGAGTTTTAGTACTGAGGAAACCTCATCTATCTCTCAAGTGGATTGAGTGTTCGTATGTGTGTACAGCAGAGTGACCTCGAGGCATCTTGTTTTCTTACAGGTCAACGATGCCTTTGAGTATGTGACCCAGCGCAAAGCTACAGGCAAGGTGATTCTCTCTGTTAAATGAACCTGCTTGTTGAGACCTGGATGTCAAAGCCCTTCCTTGCTGCTCCTTAGGAATATGCTGTCTTCACATTCCTTCGGTCTCAGAGAGAATAAGAGTGCACAGCAAATGGATTTGCCTGCCACCATGCTTTTATCCCCCGGTCTCCCATGTCTAGAAGGCGCTTCTTCACCTCAGCATTCTAAACAAAATTGGATGTCACCCCCGATCCTTCTCTCCCTCTCCCCTCCCATTCTCTACCCCACCTTCTCCTTAGAGCTCTCGCTGGAAATCACTTTGTTTCACTTTCTTTGTATACTTTTCATTTGCTTATCTATCTAAGTATTGCATCCTTCCCCCTAAAATGAAAGCTTCTTGAGGGCAGGCTCTTACTTTAGTTTTTAGAAAGAACAGATAGATTTAAAAAGAATGAATGTTTCCCCAGCACCTAGAACAGTGTCTTCTGCAAAGGAGGCCATTAAAGTAGGGCAGCTAGGTTGCACAAAAGACAGAGTGCTGGGCTTGGAGTAAGGACGACTTTTCTTTCTGAGTTCAAATCTGGCCTCAGACATTTACTAGCCAGGCTGGTCGCTTAACCCTGTTTCCTTCACTTTCCTCATCTGTAAAATGAGCTGGAGAAGGAAATGCCAAGAAAACCCCAAAAGGGGTCCTGAAGAGACGGACACGTCTAAACAACAACAGTAACAACAACAACAGATGGAGCAGTGGATTGAGCACTGGGCCTGGAGTCAGGAGGACCTGAGTTCAAATGTGATCTCAGAACAAACACTTGCCACTTACTAGCTGTGTGACCCTGGGCAAGTCACTTAACTCCAATTGCCTAAAAAAAAAAAAGAAAAGAAAGAAAAGAAAAGAAAAAGAGAGGCAAAATAATAGCACCTATCTCCCAGGGTTGTTTTGAGGGTCGAAGGAGATAATGTTTGTAAAGTACTTGGCAAACTGCCTGGCATAGCGTAGGCACTTAATAAATGCTTATTCCTTTCACTTCCCCTTTAACAACTTATGCTTTTAATGGCAGAACGAACTTGAACCTCTCTATAGAAAGCTAGTTGATAGGGAAGTCTTTTTGATAAGTGCCACATATGGCGCATTAGGTCCCAATACCCAGCCAGTGTATCTCATACTTCTCTTGAGGTAGATATCAGCCATAAAGGTTGTCTGGTATGATAGGCATGTCTCCCTTACTACCTGCAAAGGGTGACAAAACACCGCATCTCCTGGATGACACTCTGTCACTTGTTGGCCCTCTCAGCAGAGTTTTTTCATTGCCCAAGTCTTCATCGAGAAAGGCTATTAAAAGCCTTCAAAAGTGCTAAGGAGTGGTTGCTTGGTTGGTTTTGCTTTAACAAAAATCTTTCTGGTTTTAGAATATCACGAAACAGTAGGGGTTTCTTAATTGCCAAGTTAATTGGAAATAAATAATAAGCAGGAGGTTGGTGAATTGAAATAAGGAAATATGCTTGCTTTATAGTGAGGCCATCTGTCTTCTTTCTCCATTGATCTGCTTTTCCACATCTTTCTTTTTTTTTTTTTGTCCCCTTTCATGCTCCAATCAAAGCATTCTCACCTTTGAGAACTGTGTAACATCATGGCGCTCTGCTTGCCTTCTCAAAATACTGTATGGCATACAGTTTATTTCTAAAATAAAGTGAATTACAATTAACTTTATTTGGAGAATCTCATGATTCCCACTGAGATAGGAAGAGATTATCACAAATATCAGAGGGTCAAGAGGGTAGAGTTGGTAGTCCTGCATTAGAATGTGTAGTTAGTAGATTTTCTAGTGCTTAGCACAGTGCTGCCTGGCATATAGTAGGTACTTAATAAATGCTAAATGACTGACTTCCAAAGCTGATTAGTTCGTGTCATAAATGATGAAAATGTATAGCATTGCTTGCTTAGGGCAAGGTGACTTAGCTAGAAAGTGACAATAATTAAGGCAGGTGAGTTTCTCTGCTGTTTAACAAGTATAGGCAAGAATCCCTAATGAACTGCTTTCTGCTGTCCCCATGTTCCTGCTTCACTGGAAGGATTTGATTTGAAAGTATTTGACTCATCTTCTCATCATAGATTTCTACTTGCACCATTAGTTAGCTTAAAAATCAGTGAGGCTCCAAGAGACAGAATGTATTCTAAAATTCCCAGGCTTGCTTGGTTTTCTCTTCCAGGTTGGTTACTGTAGAAATCAATCCTGCCTACACCCCTTCTTTGTTCAGTAATATTCGGCTAGCTGTCCACCCAAACAAACTTTCCTTATCAGAGTGAATGGAGGGTTTGGGCTGAGATGTTTGCAATGTGTATAAGCCATGGAATAATTCTGCACAATCTGTTTGCTCTTCCTTCCTCTGTAACCTTCCTGTTTGAGCTGTTCAGAGAACAGTGGGAACTTTGCTATCTACCAGGTTGGTAAATATACAGGTACTTTCACTTGGTCACAAGTTCTAATTAGCTGAGTTATCGCTTCTCTTGGTTTTTCTCCAAAGACTACATTATTGAATGAAAAGAGTGATTTTTTAAAAAATCACCATTATTTTCAAAGGGATTTGGAGTTAGAAGTCTAACTTATTTATATTTAATTCTGGCAGAATCTGAATAATATATTCTGTTTAGCCTCCAGCATTAGTGCATATTACCAGTGTGCAGATTTTAATTGGGGATAGCAGAAATGCTAGTTTCTGGAGCTTTCTGGGTGGTAGGGTGTCAAAGATAAAGAATTTTATTGTGTTTGGTTATTTTCTATTTGGAAAATGGTCAAGTTGTCTATACTTTTAAAGAATCTATTTGTTATATTTTAAAATAAATGCTTATTGATGCTTTTTTTGTTTTTGGTGTTGCTATTACTTTCTTACACCATGCTCCCCTTTTTGTGATAAAGAAGTATAATCAAGCAAAAAAAAAAGGGTACATTGTTAGTATCCAATGATCCCTAGTCCTCTATCTCTCTACAAGAGGAGGGAGGTATGTTTCATTATCAGTCTTCTGGAGGCCATTGGATGTTGCATTAATCTGAATTCTGATGTCTTTTAGTGTTCTTTCCCTTTCCTTTCATTCTCTGACCATGGGAACCCATGATACACTGAGAAATGCAAAATGGCCCCCGTCCTGTGTAGCCCCTTTCTACTTCAATAGTAACAATGGTAGAGTGGTTAGAAAAAGGGGATAGAATCTATTAAGAATCATACAAGAATGTTTTGGCAAATCTTGGACATTTTTCTCCATTTTTTGTAGAATATATTGCCAACAATCAAAGGTTATAAGAAGTCAAATCATTCTTCTAGCATAATTCCAAAATGATTTCCAGAATGTTTGAATCAATTCACATTTTCACAAACAGTGCATTAGTATGCGTGTCTTCCCATAGTCCCCTCCAACATCAACTATTTCTGGCTTTTGTCATCTTTGCCAATATCCTGGGTGTGGGTTGAAACCTCAAAGTTGTCTTAATTTGCATTTCTCTTATTGTTATTGCTTTGGAACATTTCTATGTATGATTATTTATAGCCTGAATTTCTTTTGAGAATTGTCTGTTTCTATCCTTTGACCATTTACCTACTGGGGCATGACTCTTGGTCATTTGCATTATTTCCTTATGCATTTTAAAATCAGACTTCTATCAGAGACTCTTGCAGTTTTCCCCCCCTAAAATTGATGGTTTTATTCTAATTATGTTGATTTTATTCTTGCACAATCTTTTAAATCTTATGTAATCAACATTTTTGATTTCACTTTTTGTGATCTCCTTTATCTCTTATATTTGTTACTTTTAACTAAGACTTTTGCTATTACAATTTGGAATAAAAATATTTCTCTTCCTGATAAAATGATTTAAGGAGAGAAATCTTTATAGAGTTTTTAAAAAACCCAACCAGGCAGTTATATTTTGTATAATCAACATCAAAGTTATTGAATATCAATCTGTCCAAAATGCAAATAAATTGTTTGAACTAAAAGCAAGAACCGTTTTCAATTATTTAGTCCCAGTTCTGTCATTGACTTTGCTTTGTGATTTTGGGAAAGTTTTTAAAATGAGGGGATTGGATCAGATGTCCTCTAAGCTACTTTCCAACTCTAAAATCCTAATTCAAGGAGGCAAATTAGTCCTTGTGGTCATCATCACTGAGACTTGGAGACATGTGCTGGAATATGGCTCTGGAAGGGTATACCTTATTCACAATTAACAAAATTAGTAAAGTGGTAGGTAGGGTGGGGAATGGGGACAGAGTAGCAGTGTATATTCAGAAGACATTTTTAATTGAAGAAAGGCAGAATCTTGAGTGGGGAAGCCTTGTGCAGAGTATTTAGGTGTTTAATGGAGATAAATAGAGGTGACATTATCTACAGATTATACTACAAACCTGCCTAGACAGAAAGAGAAAACATATCAGGAGTACTGAAAACATCCCAAACCTGGCATAAGACATGATGTAGTAGAAAAAGGGGGAACATGTTAATTATCTGAACTTTTGATGGAATTCTTTCAACCATAAGTAGAAAAGTTAATAATTTCTTGACTTACTTTAAAGATAATTTCATTCTTCAGAAGGTGGAGTAATTTTTACTTAGAGGGAGGAACTGGTAGGGCTAAGGGGTTAGAAATGATGGGAACTGTAGAGAATCTTAAAATTAGTTATGGAGAAGTAAAAGAAAGTTGGGAGGAATTTAATCACTTATTAATTTTGGGGAAAGCAGATTTCACAGGGTTCAAAGAAAGGGTACATAAGATTCAATGGACTAAAATTCTATAGGGGAAATCAGCTCAAGAGGGCTGGGAAGCTCTTGTAAATGAAACTCTACTGTAGGGGTGGGGGAAATGACATATCCACAAATAAATAAATGCAAAGCACATGTATAGAAATAAGACAAAATAAACCTCTTTTCTCCTTCCCCCAGCAATATCCCTTTTATGGGATCAACTGGAGGATACGTGAGTTTGAAGCAAAAGACATTTAGTAAAAAATATGAATGATAAGGAATATCCTTCCATATACACGGGGCTACAATCACCCTGTTACTGTTTACTGCACCACTGGTGGTAATAGAGAATCCATTTAAGGAACACATGGACAGCGATCATGTATAAGGTGAGCACACACATGGGGAACATATATGAAAGGGGGTCCATATGTAAGGAATGTGCTAATTTACCCTTCAAGAACAATTTCTGTGAGTAACTCTCCCTTGCTTCTGGTATTGTTGCTGGCTGTTCCCTCTGCAGAACTTTTGATATCACTTAGCTGCTCTAGAGATGTCATTAAATTTCCAGCTACAAGGTTCGATGCTCCACCATCCACTGGTCCTCCATGACTGGGTTGCCCTCTGCTGTCATCTGCTGGTCTACTGTGTCTCTACAGGTTGCTCGCTACAGGTCCCTTGATGCTCTCTGCTGCCACTGCCTGGTATTTTTCTGAATTGCAACTGTCATTGGACTTTACGCCTGTAAATCTTTTTTCACCCTTAGTTCTGTAGAAGAGATAAGGAGGCAGGGATATAATCCTAACAACTTTGGGAACAGAAAACATTTT